TATAGTATCGATGCTCATTTTTGTTGTCGTTTGCCGTGGTCAATAGTTGTGCATGCAATATATTTAGTGTTGACCCTGTTGTGTCGTGGTCATGGTTGATCAGCAGATCTGATCGATCAACCGCGCCCTGTCTCACCGACCTCAACGTCACCCGAATCCGTCCCATTGCCTGGTAGCTTTGTCCAGGCCCTGTTGGCTTACTCATACGTGCGCTGTGCAAGCCATGTATGATCTTTGGTTGTTGTTGTGGACGTCATTGCCTCGTTTGATGCTGGTTCCGGCTTTTCTTCAATTAATTCAACGTTCAACTTAATTAACGTCCGCCGCCTTCCCTCTGCCGGCCAAGTACCCGCCGCCCCTATCGCCCACACCCCACACACACCCATCAGCCGTATCATACTCACCTTCATCAATGCTCAAGCCCAATCGCCATACCTACTACCATTTCGCCCGTCACGACCCCACGTTACGACCCCCCTCATCCCCCCTACCATACTCATTACCACCCGTCACCACAAACGACCACCCCCACCCCCTACCCCAAATGGCATGACCAAGTTGGTTGCAGCGACCTTGGTGATGTCAGTCGCATTCGTGTGATGTCTTGCCGATGGTATCATTGGATCGATTTGCTTGTTTGGATTCGACAACCCGCCTCTTGATGCTACAAACCTCCGTTTCCGCTATCCCCGCCACCCCCACAACGAAGAAACGATGTCGAACAGACGAAGACGGCACCAAAGGCGAGGATGGTCTGCCAGCAGCTATATCCCAAGAATGTCGCGACACATCCAGCCGTTGTTGTTGTCTTTGGACGTGTCGCGAGACACGAGCAGCGCCTACCATTGGGCCACGAGCACGCCTGGCTTGCTGGCTGCCTGTCTGTTGCCAAGAATTCACGGGTGCGGTCATAGGTGGTGTTGATGGATGAGCACATTGTCCACGGCATACTTAGCCACAACAGCTTCTGGGAGGATCGTCGCTGACCACTGCCTCTCGTGCGGATGTTGTTCGAGCAGCCAACAGGCCGTGTGCTCCGTCGCTCCACATCCGTCGCACAGGCTTTGTGTTGGGTGCGCTTCTCGCCATGGGCATTCACCCTGGATCATTGCAAACACGCGTGCTGACGCTTCATCGGCCACCCTCATCTTCTGTTCGGTGGCAAACGGAAAACCCCGACCCCGACATGTCATGGCCTGAGTCGCCGCATCCGCACTCGCTCTCTGGTGTCTGTGCGGGTAGCATGCCTACCCTCGACAGGGCATGCTGTGCGCTTTGCGGCTACCCTTGCAGCCATAGTCATTGTGCTGCCCGTGACTCCTCTGGCGCCTGAGCAGTCGCCCACCTACATTGAATCGGTACTCTGGCATAATCTTGCCCTCGGTGAGTGGTGGTCGATTGCTGCTACTCTGGTCCTGGTCTGCAAGCCATGACGGGCGTCGCCCCGCCCGCGCTCGACCGCCACTCGGCGGTCTCCCTGGCGCACCAGGCGACCTCAATCAGCTTAGTTTACCATCGGGATCGTAGAAGAAGAACTCGTTCTGCGCACACTCCAAGCCGTGGTTGGACACCGAGGTAAACAGCGCGCTGTCGTCGGCTGTGGTGGTGGTAAAGTCGGGGTAGACGCACGCGCGGCTGAGGTCTGCAGGCGCGTCGAGACCGTCCTTGCCGAGCATAACGCACTTGAGCTTGGTTTTGCGCCGCAATCGGTACAGCCGCCTCAAGCCGTTGAGTTGGTGGCTGTTTCCAAGCCTGATTCGCCGGAACGCGTGTACAATCCCACAAGCAACCGAGGTCTGGCCGACTGCAAGTTGGCAGATGGCAAGGAGCTGACCAACTTGCGACTTGGTCTCCCTCGCGAGTCCTGCTTCGACCAGGCAATGCAATCGCGCCGTCCACATTGATCGCCGCCGACGTCAACGTGCATTGCAGCGTGCATTGCTGGGTACACGCGTCGATACTGCACTGGATCGCACACGATACGGTCGCCATCGGCGCCAACTCGCATCGACATTGACAGGGTGATGACAGCATCACTAAGCGCTGCCGGCGCCGCCGAGTGCGAGCCATCGCGCGAGCGTGAGCGCGATCCATGCGAAGGCTGCGAGACTGGCCACGCACCAGTTCATCCGATCCACGGCGAGTCCCCAACCGCGATGGAGACTGCCGGGGCCTGTGGTGTCCTCTTGTGCGTCGTGGTCCGCCTCTACTTGCAGTAGTCAGGACGTCAGTTCCCATCGCCACGCGTATTCCCACCTCACGGCGACGAGCAGACGTTGCCAACGACATACCTGCCGAGAGTGACCCAAGGCGTGACTTGGCCAACTGGCGTGTGTGCGTCCACCGATGCAAGGTGCGAGCCCACGTTCCTCGTCTTCACACGATCGAACGATGCGCGTTGACTTGTACACTTTCAGCGCCAACAAATGCATCGCCAGAGCAACCGTGGGCGACACTGCTTGCTTGAGGGCAACACGAGCCCGCAACTCATGATACAGTACCAGGAGACTAACCACGCGCAGGCGGACAGGACGAGGTGCAACCACTTCGTCGCAGTCGATGGCGATACGCATCAACGACAGGATCAAGGCGACCTCGGACGCCTGCAGCATCTTTCCAGCCTCAAGCTGCCTGATCATCATCTCCGACACAAGTCGGCGACGCGGAATGTACATCACAAGCGCGGTCATGTTCCTCGACAGTACATCCTTGACGCGAGCTTGTCCTGCTCGCACACCAGCACTCGATTCGACAGCTGTGGCCAGCACTGTGTTGTACGCCCATTGCGCGATGAGCCTGCCGACACCGAGATCAAGCGTGTGGAGGGCGTCGCCGACGGTGAAGGCCAGAGATGCGTCGTGAAAGGCGGGATGAGAGCTAAGACCAAACTGGGCCCGTTGGTTGTACTTCAAGGAGCCGGCGGCGGCAGGCGGTGGTGGTGACGAAGGCACCTGACCCAGCAGCAAGGAGCTTGGTTCGCGGCCAGTAGAGCTGATAGGAGCGGGGTCTACATCTACCAGTACACCGCAGTACCGCTCCTCCACACAGGCACACACTGTCTGAGGAAGACCATCATACGCGTCCAGCTCATTCGAGTTGAGTGCCTTTGGCGGTGGCCTCAGCCCAAAGTCTTGCATGGCGTCGTGGACCTCGCCCAATGCAGCGTGCCATAGGTCGAGTAATCCGGCCGGAGTCAAGGACTGACCCGAACGGAGCTGTGCCTTGTGGCCTCGAGCAGGACTTGCGCGTCAGCGATGACGGCGTTCAGGTCGTTGATACCATCCTCAAGCTCGTTACCTCGCACAAGACAGCAGACACATGGTGCCCGGCCGTGCTTCTTTCCATCGACAACGCCAGAGCCCTTGTGCAACATCGTCGAGTCGCCTGCGATCACGGAAACACAACGTACGTCTTGCCGCACTCGTCCACCACGGCCTACCGTTCAACACAATATCTCTAAGCGATTCGAGGGGCAGCAGAGACTTGATCGCGGGCAGCCATCCATTGGCAACACACTTCGTAGATGGTGGTCGTCGCCTTTGGCAGTCTGTGCAATGTACGCAACAAGCTCAAACGTTGACGGCGCAGGGATTCCATCACCTTGTCAGCGACACCTGTGGCCGTCGTGGCCGGTGCTCAATACCCGCAAGCAGCGGTAGGCGCGCTGGCGTGGACCGCACACTTCCCGCCTGTCATCGCTCTACAGCCCGCACCTAAGCCCCTCACGCAGCCAGTCTGATCGTCAGCATGGCCAATTGATGGACTTTGTAACAGTCTTGACAACAGTCGCAGTCATGGACAGCCCCCTGCTGAGACAGATTGTGCGAGGGCATCTGCATCGGGCGCTGCCCAGCCTCGCATGTACCCAGCCAGCCTCGCATGTACCCAGCCAGCCTTCTCATTGTCCTCCGCAGCGCATCCCATGCTTGGCCAGTTGGCAGAGTGAAGAGTGTGTCCCATGGGACGTCTCCTCCTGCTTCTGACGAACGATCGCCGGTCCCTGTCGCGACCCAGCCAGCGACAGGCCTCAGGTGGGCCTCAGCAGTGGTGCGCCTGTACTCACGCGCTGAGCACGCTCTACGCCCCAAACTGGCAGGGGAGCAAGGGACAGACCCGCCACCCCCTACCGCCGCATATCACGCATATCCCAGCTGTGTACGCGTATATATACAGCCATTGTTCTCGCGCCCTCTGCGACCGTTCTGGGAACGTTCCCGGCGACCGTTCTGGGAACGTTCCCGTTCGCCGTGGCCAGTGGCGGGCGGCTCAACACGACGCCCGCGCGGTTTTCGACGCCTGGCATGCGCAATGCGCAGCGCATAGGGTCTACACTTGGCATGTGCGTACCCACGACATTCCTACAACTTGTACACAAGGGGTTTCCGTAAAGACTACGGCATGCGGACAGGAGGGGGGAGAAGGGTGCTAAAGGCCAAGTTCGGGACCGTTCTGAGAACGGTCCCAGAACGGTCTTGCGACCGCTCCCCGGAACGCTATCCCCAAGATGCGATGCGACGGCAACCACAAAGCTAAAAATAGTCGAGAAAACAGCACAACAATCCAAAAAATAATAGTATAATATAATTTGCGTTGTAACTACACAGGCGTTTTTGAAATATCAATTCTATTTGGCAATACATATATATATATATATATTCGCCTAAATATATTTTTAAATAGTTAGAATGCTGACGTTCTGGTGGTGGCCCCCGATTTCATGTTGGCGCCAGTTTGCGTGTCTTGGCCCTCTACCGCTCGATATGCACATGTTGTTATGTAGTCGACAATCTGGGTGTTGCCTTGGTGTACTCTGGTGTGCTCTGCTGTACCGCATGCGTGCGTCAGAGGTGAAAATCTATCCTCCGTCGCATCACGCCGTGATGCGACGGCCGCCGCTGTTTCACCGCAGCCACGGACACGGCTCAGAACTCCATCCCATTCACAAACTGTTCACGATCACGACAGCGAGATGTGGAGTTGAAGGAGGGGAAGCGATCGGGCGGCATGCGTCGGTGCTTGCTTTAGTGCGGGGGCTCACCAATAGGCCGAGGACGATGGGGAGGATCGACTCTATCTTCACCAGCTCGGCGAGCTCACTCACCATCCTCACCACCTCCACAAGTCCTCCGCACACACATCGCTTGGTTTCAATCGCGCCAACCGAAAGAGTTAGATCCGCGCCCTCGCGTCCAGCCATGGCTGCGCGATAGAGAACAGAACAGAGCATGCTACGAAGCAAACAAAACGCCGAGGTCTTTGATTGCTCATCAGCGGCTGGTGATCGAGCTGGCATGGGTTCAACGGCGAGATGCTGCACCACCGCCGCTCTGCCCGACAAACCAGCCGTCAACAACAGTTGCAAAGCAATGCACAGTACAAATTCATTTTCTCGCCAGCTTCTCCCAGATCAGATCGCGGACTTAGTCTAGTGGCAGGATGTCTCGTTGTGGCCGAGCCGGCCCGGGTTCGATTCTCGGAGTCCGCATATGATTTCTAACCGAAAGGTCGGTTTTTTTTTGCCCATCAACCAACCCTGGTCAAAATCGCAACTGACAAGAAACCTGCTCGCTCCCTCCGAATGGTAGATCGCGGACTTAGTCTAGTGGCAGGATGTCTCGTTGTGGCCGAGCCGGCCCGGGTTCGATTCTCGGAGTCCGCATCATATCATGATCCACATGGCTGATGGGTTTTTTTTTACCCAGGAGCCAACCCTGCGCTACGCCCTCGACGTGCAGCCTAGCCGAGCTGTACACACCCAGCCCTGGTCCAGCCTCTCCTCTCTGGCTCGAGCACCTCTGTAGCCGGCGCGGAAGAAGAAGCCCTCCGCGCCAATGATCGGAATGGGCGCAGGAATCGGAACGAGCCCAATGGTCGGAACTGCGCCCTTGCACATGGTCGGAACTCGGGCAGCCATGAGAAAAACCCGCACCCATTCCCCAACATCGCGCTCTAGCCCAGGCACACACACGCACACATCACACGCACCCCTCTGAACACCATAGGCAAGAAATCAAACAGCTCCCTCATCCGCCAGACCCTCATGCCGTCCGACAAGAAAAAGATCATGTCCATGTCCAAGTCCAAGTCCAAGTCTAAGTCCAAGTCCAAGTCCAAGTCCAAGTCCAAGTCCAAGAAGAAGAAGAGTGCGTCAAAGTCCAAGTCCAAGAGGAAGCGATCCAAGCAAACACCGTTTGCTGCCATCGCCGATGAGTTCACCTCGTTCACCCAAGTCCAGGAGGAGCTCCGCAAGCGCGGCCTCGAGTCGTCGTCGCTCATCGTAGGCATCGACTTCACCCAGTCGAACTTGACCCAGGGGAGATCGTCGTTTGGAGGCCGCTCGCTGCACGATCTCGTGGACGACTCTAACCCGTACCTGGACGCCATCGAGGCTGTTGCCCTCACCCTCGAGGCATTTGATGACGATGGCCTCATCCCGTGCTTTGGCTTTGGCGACGCGAGGACCCGCGGCTCGGCCGTCTTCTCGCTCAAGCCCAACGGCGAGCCGGCCGATGGCCTCGCTGAAACTGTTGACGTCTACCGGGAGGTGGCCAAGACCGTCAAGCTCTCCGGCCCGACCTCGTTTGCCCCGCTCATCGACGCCGCCATCGAGGAGGTCGTCGAGTCAGGTAACGAGTTCCACATCCTCCTCATCCTTGCCGACGGCACCGTCTCGCCGGGCGTTCCCTACAACGAGACCGTCGATGCCATCGTCCGCGCCTCCGACTACCCGCTCGCCATCGTCGTCATCGGCGTCGGCGACGGTCCCTTTGACACCATGCACCACTTTGATGACAACCTCCCGCAGCGCGCCTTTGACAACTTCCAGTTCTGCGCCTTTGATGACGTCCTCCGCACACACAAGAATGCCGCAAACGCCGCCGCTGCCTTTGCCCTCCACACTCTCATGGAAATCCCGCAGGTCTTTACCTACGTCTCCGAGAACGCCATCCTCAACAAGCGCCTCTCGTCAAAGTCCGTCGCCCGCCTCCGACGTCGACTCGCCGTCCAAATCCTCGAGCCGCCCACCGTCTCCCCGCGTGCATCCGCCCGTCGCAGGCGCCGCTCCCGCTCTCGATCACCGCCGCCGTATCCCTCGTACTCATCCTCCGATGACGGCTCGTCCACCGACGACTCGTCCACTGACGGCTCGTACGACTCGTCCTCCTCTTCGTCGTCATAACCGCCACCATGTCTAGCGCGGGTCATGGCTCTGATAAACGCGATGCTTGCCAAGGCTACACACCCCTTTACTCCTCACTCGAGCATCTGCTGGCGGATCTGCCACCGCAGCGCCTTCCGCTGCCGCGAAGTTGGCGGCACGTATGCGTTCTTCCGCGCCTCGGCCGCCAGATTGAGCTGCTTGCGCTTAAAGCCCTCCTCCGACTGCCACATCTGCTCGCGGATCTTCCACCGGAGTCCGCGGCGCTCCTTCTCACCCGGCGGGACGTAGTTTGGCCGCATTGCCGCAAGATTGTGCCGCTTGCGCTTGGGCACTACCTCGACCTCGCCTGCCCGGCTTCCCGGCCGCCGCGGCGCCCGCTTCCCGCCGCCGCCCTGTCGCTTGAGGAACGGATCGTGCGCCCACTCGGCCTGCGTCGCGTGATACCGTGCCACCTTGTCGGCCTTGGCCTTACTTCCGATGTGCGCCGTATACGGCCGCGACCGGATAAAGCCCTTGGCCTCCTTTGGCCGCGCTCCGTTGACAACCGCCGTCAGCGGCCGCCGCCGCGGCATGCCACTGCTCCCCTTGCTCCGCTGCCCATACACCGCCCGGAACTCCTCGTCCTCCACATCCACTCCGCCGACCACCCCCGTGCGTCCGTCCACAGGCTGTCCCGTCACCGGATCCACATACGCGTACTCATACTCGTACTCGTACTCCTCGCCGTCGTCGTACTCGCCGCCAAAGCCATCGGATCTCGTCCCACCTGCCGTCCGCGGCCGCGGTCCCCGTCCACTGCTCGCCCGACCTCGACCGATCCCAGCTCCACCGCTCGCCGTCGACGTCTTCGCCGTCGTCACCGCCCTCGTCGTCGTCGTCGCAGGCCCACTTGCAGCCGTCAGCTGCTCCAGCTCGGCCACAAACTCGGCAAGCAGCTCGTCGGGCACGTTGTCGTACCCGAGCGCTGCCAGTTGGGCACGCACAGCACGGACGTCCAAAGCTGCCATGTCTGCCTCCTCTGGTCTATGTACCTTCTTTCCTTGCTTCCAAGACGGCGTCAAGTGTGGTCTCTCTCCCTTCTACTTTCCCATCCCAACACCCCCCTCCCCCTCCCGCTCCTCGCCCTCGCCCCGTCCCTGTCTCGTCTCGCGCTCGTTGCTTCGGCGCGCGCGCGCCAACGGGACGTTCGTCCGTTCCTTCTATCACTCGTTCGTTTGTTCGTTCGGTCAAATTCGCCACCATCGATTCAGAGAATAATCGAGAGTCTCTTGTTCGGATAATCGTTGACTCGCTTTCAATTAATGCAACGTTGTCTATTGATGGCGTTGGCGCCGAACCCGAATTACAAATTTTCATCCATGTCGCTCTGACCTGTATCCTCAATCGAGGACAATCGGATTCTCCTCTCGGCCGCTCACACCGCCTCCGCCGCCGCCTCCTCCATCACCGCTGCCAGTGGTGCTCTCACGACGGACGCGATCGTAGATGAGCAGCTTCTCGACAAGCCGCCGCCACCGTGCCACCACTTGCTTGGCGATCTTGGCCCGGGCCGCACGGAGCTCGCCGACCCGCATCTCGAGGACTGCAGCCTCAAGCGTGTCAGCGTACTCGAGACAGACGACGACGCCATCAAAGACCGGATATCCGCCGCGCCGTGCAAAGCCGACGAGCGCTTCGGCGTAGTTCATCCCCAGCGCTATTGCCGCACGCTTGGCCTCGCGCCCGCGGACGTGGACGCATCCAATGGGCACCATCCATGACTGGAAGACCTCGACGTTGCCGTGCTCGTTGACCGGAACCATGCCCGGAACCTGGACCCGCCCCGGCGTGTACCGCTCCGTCTGCCAGCGCCCGTACAGCGGCACCCCGCGCGACGACGTCTTGATAGCCGCTGCGTCGTCAACCACCACCCGCCCATACCCGCGGAGCCATGTCGTTCGCGCACGCAGCTTCTGCACATGCCGCCGCCGATACACCGCTTCGCCGCGGAACGACGCAACCGCCGCCGCCCCGGGCACCACCGCCATCGTCTTGCCGATCAGCGACTCGAGCACATACAGCCGTGAGCTCGAGAGCCCACTCTTGGTTGTAGGTACTTGCGCCGCGTCGCGCGCAGCTTCCAGTGCCCGCGCCTCGGCCTGCCGCGCTGCCACCACTGCGGCCGCCGCGCTCCGCAAGCTCGCCTCGCCAAAGTACGCCACCATCCGCCGCAGCGGATCCGGCTTGAGCCGCGCTTTGAGCGCCGCGCCCCAGTCTCCCACATACAACGCCGTCACATCTGACGCGCGACCGGTCGCCACCTCGTACGCCATCACATACCACCGCGATCCCGGCCGAAGCCGCGGCCGTAGCGGTTCCAGAACCTCCACCCATCGCAGCTCGCTCGTGGCAAGCACCTCGAGTCCAAAGTGGATGCTCTTTTGCGTCGACTCGGCCGCAACCTCGTCATCTACCCCGGCCCCAGCCTTGTTCTTGCGGTCATTTCGCTTTGACGGCCGCTCCGGCTCAATGCTCGGATCGACCAGCGCCGCAGACACCGCAGTGATCGGCGGCGGTGAGACGGCGGTTACCACCCTCACCGCCAGCTCAGGCCACGCCCGCATTGCGGTCAAAACCGCCGCCATAGCATCCTCCCCCGCCCCCAACGCCGCCTTTGCCACAGCCCCCGCATCCTCCACCACACTCTGGCGACCCCCATCTGCCGCTGCATCCAGATACGCCAGCAGCCCACCCGGCAGCCTCGAGACAACCTCGGCCACCTGCATCTCATCAGCCGTAGCTGCCACTCTCGCCATCCCCGCAGCAGCACATCCGGCCGCATACACCATCGCCAGATGAAGCCCTTGCAATCGCTTCCGGTTCTCGCTCGTCAGCCGCGCACTGCTCCGACGTCGCTTCTTCGATCCCTCGCCCCCACCCGCGCCTGCAGCCGTCGCCGCCGTCGTCGCCGTCGCCCTTGTCGCTCCCGAACATTCGCCCTCGCCGACCTCTTCCCAGACCACCTCATCCCCTCCTTGGCCACCACCACCGCCTCCTCCACGACCCGAACACGCCCCAGCCTCGGTCTCATCCCCTAGCCCCTCGCCGCCGCCATCCGTCCCGCATCCGCTATAGCTGTAGCCCTCGTAGCTGTACTCGTCGGCATCCTCCGACCCGCCCGAAGCAGACATGCTGCCAAGTCGAGTCGAGTCGTCCCCTGCCTCACTCTCTGTCCTCCCCTGGCTCGCCGTCCTCGGTGCTCGTCCGTGTCGCGCTGACGTCCGGCGAGTGTCATCGATGCGACTCGCGCTGGCTGACGACGGACAGACGGTCAGACGGTCAGACGGCCAGACGGCCAGACGGTCAGACGGCCAGACGGTCAGATACAGCTTGTAAACGGCAACAGTCAACATGCGAATCGGGTTGAGAGGGACGTGCGATTGGTCGATGCGCTGGGGATCGATGGTCGCCGTCGGATGCGAGGACTGGCTGATCTGGCTCAATGCGGAGCGATGAGCGCTAGTCCTGGGCAAAGTCGGTCTCGCAATGATGCCGTGCAGTGCAGGCAACCGTGATCAGAGGACGGTAACCCTAGTTGGAGGAGCAAGAGCAGATGATAGTGCTTGCATGGACAAGCACGCCGCTCCATCCCACGCCGACAAACTCCCCTGCTCCCGATCTCCCTTGTGATCATCGCCACGCCCCATCACCCGCAGCTCCTCAGCCAGCCACATCTATGACTATCCCCATCCCCCCCCCCATTCCCATCCCTCAAAACCC